TTTGTTGTATTGTTCCGTGATAGAACTCTTGTCCTCCGTGTTTTTTTTCTTTTTTTTTTACTTTTCCAACGGCTAAATCTATAATTGGAAATTCTTTTTTCCATTATATTTCCTAAAAACTGGAATTGCAGAAACTAATATTTTGTTATTAGCTTTTCATGTGGAATATTTATTTGAAAGGTTTATCGTTTTTAATTATGATATAGGCGCCATTGGATTCTGAACAAATCGATATTCATTTCAATTTGTAATATCACCTGTAATATCAGCGTGCTTTAACAGTTTTTTTTTCTTCACTGGCTTTAGAATCCGTTATTTTCTGAAAATTTTTTCGAAAACTTTTTCATTATCAAAACACTCATCGCGTCGTTTAAGAAAAAGAAAAACGTCATAAAAAAAAAACTTTTTCCAAAGACGTATTAATCTCTCAGACGATTTTTTTACACGTTTTAAACTGCTCTAACAAAACTTCTAAATCTCTTGGACTCTTTTTATATACATATTTTTTTCTATCTTTTATAACGATACACGGTGTATTCTCGGTATATAGACAAATGCAAAATAAAGGAAAATCAGACAAAAAGTAAATAATAGAAAAAAGCCAGTCTAAAGATATCCCGTGTAAAGATATTCTCTTCCTCTACTCCCTTCCTCGCAGAGCGAAGAGACGTATAAATCCGACATTATTCTAGGCGCCATCAGGAGAGCTGTATAATCAGTTTTCGAATGAGAAAGGCGCCGGAGCGGACTCGCGGCGGGAAAATCGGCCGCCGTTAGGTGCAATCGCATTAATTCATAGATCACGGCATCGTATAATCCTCTCGCCAACCCTTTCTCATCCGCTCGATATCGATACGAGCCTTTGGAGAAGCGGCTCGTAAATTTATTACGGCGCGAATCCCGGTATATATCCGCATCCGTGAACATCGCGAGCGCGATGGTTCTCATCTTTAAGAGATACCAATAATTGGACCATCCTGCCGAAATCCATTTTACAGTAAATTCGATCTTGAGACAGACAAGATTCCTAAATATCACCGTTATAATTGATAGAGCATCGTTTGCGCTATATGTGACGCGTTTAAAGGACGATGGGCCAGTCTTGGTCCCCGGAACAGGAAGTAAAGACAGTGTGTCTTTTTGTAATTTTTGAGCTGCTGAATTTCTAATCTTTACACATTTTTCTATGTGTCGGAAAAACAATATTAAAATCAACGTATGAAACTATTACGTATCTAATACTGTAAACTATTATAGTTGAGCTTTACAAACGTATTAATTCGTGTTTTCGTGCTGATGAAATATAATCGTACTCTCATCTCTAATAGTTTTATGTTAATAGTTTGATAAAAAAAGTATAAGAAATTTATTAATATCAAGAAGCAGAGGCATTGTCGATGGAAACTATTTTAAATCTTGTCTACATTATCTGAGAGCATTGTCCGCATTGTCTACATTACCTGAGAGCACAAAATACTTTATATCTTCTTAATAAAAGAACCTCAGAAGTATCTTCCATAGTGATGCATTCTTGTGGCTAGGTTGTTGAATGTTGTTCTCACATTGCCATGAGAATTTGATATTTTGGTTATGCTTTTTATCTAAAATTCATTTAAACAACATCTTCTCAGAATAATATTGTTGATAATAAAAGTAATTCTGAACAAGAATAATTTATTTTTTTCTCAACATTTTGTTTTTTTTTTCTTTTTTACATATCTATTCTTTTTTGTATAACATATAGATTTTGATTTATAAAAATATTTTATCATTATAGTATTTTACTACAATAGTATTTATAATAATTTACTACTGGAAACTATAACGATTTACGCAAAAAATATTTTTAAGCATTAAGATCCGTTTAGGCTAGGATTTCTTCTTCATTTATTAATTTGTGTTGTTCACATATCAGTCGATTTTCACTTAATATTGTTTATTTCATTATAATTGTTTACTTTCATTAACAAATCATTCTCATAATAATTTCTTATATGTTTAATAGCTTCATAGCTGATTTTAATATTTTCCCGACAAATTAAAATTTTTTAAAGTCAGAATCAGGTTCAGCAACTCAAAAACTATAAAAAAACATCATTTTTACTTCCCGCTCCGGGAAAGCTAAAATCAGTCCGTTTTACCCATCGTCCTTTTCCTAAAAGTTGTTTACAGATTTTTTTTAAAATGTATAAAACAAACAACTAATGCGAATTATTCTTTATTCTGATTTTTCTCTTTCTGAGAATAAAAACCGGAGAGACATCTGTTATAAATTCTTTTTATAAATGTATAATTCTTTCTGAAATATTTGAGATTGAATAATGACAATGCGAGCAAATATTTTTCGAGCAATAATCCGTGAATATTTGTCGAATAACTTCCGAAATTTCCCCCGGAAGGAAGCTTTTCCTCGTAATTATTTTAGCTAGGTTTACCTGGAACGTACTACCCAGGTACCGGACGGAAGGCTCGAGAACAATGATGGGCCAACCACGCGCACAAATTTCACAGCTTGTTACATGGTTACACGCCATATAATCTTACGATAGTAATTTCGTGTATCCGCGAGAACGTCGTAACACTAGTCAAGTCAGCTCGTAAGACAGACGAAAATAAATTCACTCTTACCCTAATCCCTTAATCCTTTATATGCCATCCAGAAATTTTGCCTATGAAACGTGTAAACATCGCGGGAATATCTAAAAAAAAAAAAAATCGAATCGAAGAAAAGTCCGACAATACGAAATTTGCACGCGTAGTTATATTTGATGAAACATTTACATTTTTGTATTAAATTCTTTAGATTCTTTTTCCCTTGCTGTTATGTAGCGTACTAAATCCTCTCCCTTATAATGAGAATCGCCCTTTTGATTCAAATACGATTAAGTAAGTGACTCATAATAAAATCATTCAAGTTTAAATAGGTTTCGCGAGGATATTGTTTCTGAGATTCGTAAAGGAAATTTCGTGAAGAGCAACCGACGTTCAGGCTGACTCCCTTCGTTTCTTGCAAGCTCTTAATCCCTTTCCAGATTACATGGCGGAAAGAGGCTTTGCCCAGCCAGCGAGCTTGTTGTCGTCGTTCTTCCGGAAAGCAACTCGTTATTGCGATCCACAATTCACCGAAAATTTCGTAAACCAACACCAAATAAGCTATGTATATGTATATGCATGCAAGAAGAAGAAGAATCTTTCCAAAGCTATCCTTCGAAGAGTTTCCTCGGACTAGAGTTTCCTCGGTTCAAAAACAAACTGATGTGAAAATGAGTTACCGATGTACTTTTTTAATTACAAAAATTTTGTAATTAATTAATTTTTTTGTAATTTATTTGCCGCTGTTTATTTTTCGGTCAATTTCGCATCAAGCGAATTTTAATCAAGTCTCAGTTAGAAGGTATTTCATGGAGGAAAATGAACTTTGAGTTGGTCAAAGAATTAGGTAGATAAAAGGAGCGACGAACACCCTATAAACTTTAAACTCGGGCAAACATCTCGAGCAAGTTTGAAGTCGCTCGGTATTGCGTAGGGCGGTATTGCGTATAACGAGATTGAATGGCGTAGGCAGACAAAAGGGGTTTAGTCGACGATGCACAACGGAAATTACGCTACGTAACTCTTGCTACGTGCAAGGTTGCTGTAAATAACATGTTGCCAATATTAACGAAACTAAAAGAGACGGTGAACATCACGATATCTCGGCGGGATATACCAGGAATTAGCCTTCTTAAATTTTGAAGTGTCAACGGAAGTAAATTTAAAATGATAAAATCGCTAGATTTATAGCGCTTGATGTACTGGGCGTGCATTTTATGCCGGAATTTTAATACGATCTTAATCCTATAACCGACATGATGTGGAAAAATGTCGACATGGTTGGTAGCGAAAGGTTCAAGAGTACTTTGACTTTCTCTTAGATCTTCTCTCAAGCAATTTCTTACGTCACGTTTTTCTTTCATTATTTATCTGAAACATTTAGAAAAAAAATAATATTAAAATTATATTATTATTTGTTCAGTTTCTGTACAAGCAAAAATTTCAAGTCGCCAAGTATGAGAAATCTCTTAAAGAAAAAGGAGTTAAACACTTAATAGTAATTAATTATTATAGTATCTATAAATATATATATATGTTATGAAAAAATATTTGAAATGTCTTGAAATTGCTTAATATCTTTACTCAACATTTTATTGTACCAGATATGTGTTTTATGCTAGAAACGTATCCTGGCCGAAAAAATGGGTGGAACTCGAAATATATAGGAATTTATAATGGTAGATATGCATAGCAATCTATGCACATTTACAGCAATATATTTGATTGCAATATTTCGAGTTTATTTCTAGGATACAGAGAAAATTTTTTTTAAAATGCTCTTTTTACGCTAGCATTTTTTACGAGCGTTAAAAATGTTAGCGCCTTCATTGCTTGAGTCGTAAATCGAACGCCATTGTTAAAAAGCTCCGTGCTTGACTTTTACGATGCGACAACAAGCAACTTTGCAAAGATGTATGCATATTTCATTATTTTGCGTCTAGGGGATGGGCAATTAACGATAAAGTCAGAGTTCGATATGGTTAACTGTTGAAGCTCGATAATTAATTCAACGATACTCTCAACTATCTATAATTTATAATCAGAATACAAAAACAATTATTTATCTCAATTTTTTTCTAGTTGACAGAAATGGCTATAATTTTTATACATACGTTGTATTATATTAATTTATTACACAAACATAATTAATATATTTCTACCTTAAAAAAGTAAGAAATAAAATTTTGCATTATCGACAGTTATTAAGTATAAGATATTTATTTATGTATATTAATTATAGAAAAATAAAATATATATATAATTGTACAAAGAAAATAATTATGTGTAAAATAAAATATATTTATGTTTCAACTCTAATAAATAATAATATTACATAATTGTCATATTATATGATAATTTTAGTAAATTACAATTTTACAGACATAGAAAAATGCCTTATGTTTCAGGCCTCGTTTTTCTCGACAGCACTGAAAACCCTGATCTCTGTGTCTACTGTGATACTGCTTGGCCTCATATTTGCTTACCATGCCTTAGAAGTTCAGGTATGTATAATATGTTTCTCGTGGTATAATGAGTGAATATTTGAATAAAATGGAGGAAGCGTCGAATGCTGAATCATTTAAATTCAAACGGGACACAAGATCACTTCGTTCCAACCGTTGTACCGGAGATATAAAAGTTGTTATTCACTCACTCGCGCATGATTGCCCTACACATTCTCGATAAAACTGATCTTCTGAAAAAACTGAAAAATAACCAATTATATTCTGTCTTTTCAAACGCATAGTCTTTTCCTATGGAACGTTTGTTGATAGATACTTATTATTATCATCGTCATTAGAAGCTTTATATTAACTATATAGCTAATATTAATGAATTATATCGTTTTACTACACACACACACATATATATATATATATATATATTTATAAATATATGAATATAGATTATCAGCGGTTTCAAATAACTATAAATAACTTAGAAATAAAATAAATTTCTGGAATTGGGGGGCGCAATTCGTGGGGGCGAATCACTTTTTGCGTTTCAAGGAGGCCGAGCGTGACATCACGCTTCAATGATCACGGGATTTAATGGCCGACTATTGTGCCGTTCGGTCGAAATCGTGGGTAAATCGACGCGACGTCCAGCTGATCGAAACACCATCGTGAAAAAGCGCGATGAACGCGATTTCGCCGGTGTGGGAGTGTTAATAAAGCCGCTAATAAAAGGCCAATTACGTCGTGCGCGATCGCGCAAATTTTACCTATCAGACACACAACGCGTCGTCGTCGTCGATTGACCATTGATTATTTATACGTTCCGAGGTCTCCGCTTAAATATTTCGTTCCAATTCGAATCAAAATTATCTACTTTTGAGCTCAATTAAAATTTTTGCATCTCTATGACGCTTTGTTTGAACATCAGATCGACCTTTTTTTGATTATATAATTTGCAGCTCTTATTTAAAATTGCAAAATTCTATTAAAGATAATAGTAACGCGGTAACTCTTTTAAATTTTAAAATAGAATAAATTATTTATTTATACCAATAATGTAAGATGCAAATTAGAATAATATAAATTTTAGTATAAATTAAATCTGCCGCAATTCTTTAGATTCCGTATATAAATATTTTAAAATTAGGGTCAAAAATAAGAGTGTAATTTGAATACGAGACAAACTGAATGAGCGATGACATATTTGTGGAGCGAATAAATATATAATTCTATCCTGTCGGCTTTAGATCAATAAGTAAAATGTCGCGCAAACTTGAGCGACTTGAAAATTCGCAATGGGACACTCGCCAAGAAAATCGCAGCTTATTTCGGAATATTTATTGCGTCCACTCTGCTTTGTAACGGGAAATCTTTATTGCATAAATTGCAAATAAATCTTCCCACTATCCTTTTTCAAATAGGAATTTCAGTTTGTTACGTTAAAGTGCAACACACAGAAAACAAAATGTAACATTTTATTTCTCTATGATTTTTTAAGATTATAAATATATTATTCTAATAAATATATGATATCACATAATTTGGAGATATAAACTAGAATTTAGAAAAAAATTCTCGCCTCGATTATATCGAATTAAGAAATTCGACGATTTCACGACGTGATAACGATATTAAAAAAAAATGACAGGGTTTGGTGTAACGGAGAACCGGTTCATTACAATATCCGGCAGAAAGAAAGTGTCTCTCGGTTAAGTTCTCGACTCGCTTCCGGCCTAGTCGGAACTCGTCTTAATGAGATTCCAATGGCCGACAGCGAAGTGAGCTTTGCAAAGCCGCGCAAAGCTCAAACTGACTCGAACGTTTAAGCGTCAACTCAAATATTGACCGTCTTTCAAATCTCTACGTCGGAGACTCGCGTTATGCACCGGGTGTCCGCAAAGAAGTAGGTATGATGTGACTTAGATATCCGATTTCTCAAGCAGATCCGGACAGACGGATTCGCAACGTATAAATGTCGGGTTGACGTTAACGCGAGCGTATAACACCAGAGAACCTTGAATCTTGCGGAATCACGAGTAATTCCAAGGAGATGTTCCGAAGATTTTCAGCGCGATCCCATTTTTATCTCTTCTTGTGATTTATAAAGTTTTGTTTAGTATATGAAGTCTTTTGATAAGACTCAACTTGTATTCGAGAAAGAAATTTATGTTAATTATTTTATACGAATGTACAGATACAAATTGTATTTTGAAAATTGTCTTCAATTTAGTTGATTGAGTAATCTTCTGTTATTTGCTATAATAAATGCAGATCTATTTTTTTTTTCTTTATATATATCATATGAGAGTTTTTTCTTATTAACATTTTTAGGTAAATAAAGAAATAGATTTTTATGTATTGTCATGTAAATAATTTATGTCTTGACAAGATCTCATTAATATTTCGTCAATTTTATTTCACGGAAAATGGATTAATCTTAAACTTGGTAAATTAGCCAAGATCTATCGCGAATATTTCTGGGAAATAGGAACCGATTACGACATAAGAAAAAAGGCTAAGCCGACATTCCCGCATATGTCCTGAAACGGATAATTTCAACTCAATGTGTCGGAAAAACGTTCTCGTCAAGCATCATGGTCGCCTCGCGATGCAATTTCGTCGCGATATATTGTGGCGCCGATATTGCCGCATCCTTGCGATTCGAGAAAAACCAATACGGTTTTCGAGATCGACGTTTCTGCGCTTCCGCTTTTCTTTCCTCCCATGAAAAGGAAATTGTTTGGAAAGTTCGAGTCCAATAAAACTCAGTGCATATCCGCTGCACGGATATATGCGTAATTCGTTGGACGTTGGAGTAAGCCTGTCTTTAAGTTAAAAAAAGTTTTACACATACAAGTTTTACCCCACAAGTCCTAAACTAACTTAACTTAACTTAACTTAAATATTTGAAGAAAAACTCATAAGTGTGATCTTTTTTTTTTAAAAAAATTTCAAAGAGAAGCTTTGTTATTTGGTAACACGTATTTTGCGATCAAATTCGTCAAATTAATATCGCAAACCTATAAAATAATAATAAATTGCATATTTGTTATTTCTATTAAGTTATGATTTTACCATATAAATGTAACTTAACTTCACAGAGCATCATTTATAATCGCTTAAAATCAGATAGCTATTATAATTGAAGCTATTAGGAAATGTTCCTAACGATGATCAGCCCGGTTACATCAAGCTGGCTCACGCAATCTTGCGGCAACAACGGCTGGCTTGGAGCCTAATAGCTTGCTGACCTTTCGGCACCTGTTGATTGTCGTTCATCAACGATTTGCATGCGCAGATTTGCCGGGATTCACCTGGCACTGCAAAACGAAGGGGGTTTCCCTCGGGAGACATCGGGTTCCAATCGATGTCATCCGTACGTCAGGTTTCTGATCGTCTTCTCCGGTTTATCTCTTTCCCGCTCCTTATAGCTATAATAAATTCAGATCCTCGCAGCACAGTTGCCATTCTTGAATTGATGACATTAAATTTCTAACATTATACACATATATATATATTTTTATAGACAATATATACTTTCATATTTCAAATAATTTTTATTGATTTTCTCACTTTGTCACTTCGTATTTAGTTAAGTCGTTAATAATGCTTCTCAATTCCCAACGTCAATCCTTTAAAGTAGAAATACGAGAATAGAAGTCGATGATAAACCGATGATATTAAGATATTAGTGACACAAGAAAGAAAAATTGCAAAAATCATCGTCATAAGTTTCGTAAGGAGCATTATATTCGATCTCGAAATCCGATATTAGTATTCTATATTCTTACCAACGAAAATTCTATAATATTATCTAGTCCCTTGCTTTGATGCTCAAGTTTTTATAGGATGTCCATGATACCGTGTCCTCTCAGATAACGAAGGTTAGAAAGTACAATACCATTAGGGAATCATGGATCCATAAATCATCGATGTTAAGCCGACCCTACTGTTAGTAGCCCTTTAAATACACGCCGCGATAATTCGCAACTTTTGCTGTTGTCAGCCGTCTTTGTATCGCTTTTCTCGATACGATGGATCTCTTTTTTCTTTTCCTGTTTTGCGCGATAATCTTCGTGTCTTCCGGATTATTCCACCAGATAAATAGACTCCCACTATATTATACTAATCTATTCAGGACACCGGCGGGTTGCGTCTTTCGCGCCAGCTGAGAGATACGAGCTGCAAAGTATCTGCGATGTATCACGGGTGAGATGTAGATCTCCGCGTATTTTGTGACGAATGTATCCCGTGACCCGCCGAAGATTCTGGAGATCCTCAGAGTGGAACAACTCCATTGTCGAAGCGACGAAGTTTTAAAATCGCATGGTTCGACCGGACGTTTAGAAACGGAGGAACTCAAAGGATGATTTACGGTATTGCAAGTCTCAATAACCCTTCTGTCCCTTCTCCCCACAGATTTCCGATAACAGAAATCCGCGATAATTTACAAATAATTAGCAAAGTTCAGTTCGAAGTTCGAAGCAAAATTATTGACTTGTGATAAAGTACTAAATCCCTCTTTCCTACTCTGTATGATGTGCGCGTGAAAATTTTTTCTAATTGAACGAAAAATAAACGCAATGAGAAATGAAAGATTTGCACACGGAAAGAACACTTTTGCTGGCAAATCTAAAAATTTGGCTAGACACAGATCTGAAAACTGATTTTGTTGAGCTTTCAAAATTATTATTATATACAATGTTCAAATTGACTGTTAGAAGATCAAACATTTTTACAGTATTATCATTATATTTAAGCGTTTCTACAAAATAATTTTGATGGGGGCCAACAAAATTATTTTCAGATCTGTATCTGGTCAAATTTTTAGATTTGCCGGCAAAGGTGTTCTTTCCGTGCACAGTCGATGACCCGCGAGATCAAAAATCCATCGTGGCACGATATGATACAAATCACGATATGATACAAATCTCGAATAATAACCGTGCTTGGGATGTGTAAAGTCCTTTAAACGCAATCCGTTTAGATCTGACAAGATCGTTACCAAGTTAAGGATGATTTGTTACGCCGGAATGGCGTATGTACGATTACAACGATCTGGCTTCCCACACGGTATAGACGGCGATAAACAATGAGAATACGTGGCGTGGCGTTTTAATCAAGTCAGAGGGGCTGGAAGGGGTTGGAATTCATATTAATCGAGCGAGGGCTCAAAGAGCGACTATTCCTCTGGAAATTTCCGGAATACGTGGATTCATTTGTCTCAATTGGCAATCTCGCGCGATCGATACCAGTCGACATTATCTAAAAATCGCTTTGAATATGCGTATGGTAATGCCGAAGAGATGAACGGTGATTAATTTATTCGTTTATTTGTTCATTCGAATACTGCGCGAGATGGACGGGTTTAATATGTATATATATATTTTTCAATAATGTTCAGCTTCGACGAGTACACGAACGAATGATAATATATTTCAATCAACTCTCAATCGCGCTACATATTAATCCCGTGAGATGTATCGATAAAAGTTTATTGGAATATTCGATAAAGGGGAGCCAAAGAGCTTAAGAATGTCAGAATTTAAATATCCAAGATTTTCAAGAAAGCTGCAAAAAGTATGTTAAATAACCAAGATATCGAATATTTCTTATCAGATAATTCCGAGACATTATTCAAATATATTTGAATGCAATATTATTTTCAGAATAATATTCAAATTATATTTATATAAACCATATATATACCCTATTAAATATAAATGTAAGTTTAAATATAAGTTTAAATATCTCTAATGTCCGTTTTCTCCAACGTGGTTCAAAATTTGAACCGACTTTAGACTCCGATCAATGACATTTTGTGTTCCACCAAAGTTTTTTTGTACATACAAGTTCAAGTCAGTTGACGTCATCAAACGACGTTTATTCTGATTACGCTCATTTTTGGCCGATTAACAAGTTTGAATGGCGTTTAAACAGAAGATAACGCAAAACGTACGCAAAACGTGCGTATATCAGTATATTGAAGGTATATTCAGTACATTATTTTATTAAACAACCTATTTATATTCATCGTTGAATGAATAATTAAAAGCTAGTAGTACAGTAAATAAATGATGCAACATTTATGACTAAATTAATTTATTATTTATTTATGACAATAAATAAACTTCCTTTTGATCATATTTCTATCGCAAAACGAGTAAAAATTTTATTTTGATAATTATATATAAGACTATGAGTACAACAGTAGTTTATAATAAATACAAATAATAATAGTTTATAATAAATATAAGTAATTCTGATTTTATCTTTGGTTATTCAAAAATATACTTATGGATAATAGGAAAATTAAAATAAACACATTTTTTTGAAAATAAATAAAAGTAACTGTAAATAAAAGTATGTAAATAAAAGTAAATTTTGCTTTAATTTACGAAAATAATAAAAATTTAAAAACTTTTATTTACAAAAAGATATAATACATATATATATATATTTATAAAACATCTTTAATCTTCGCTGTTCTTTTTCTAAAATAAAAGTTTTTAACTCTAATTCTTTCTGTAATATTTCAACTTGCAACTTTTCTTTTTGCAATTGCATTTTTAAAATTTCAATTTCAAGTTCAGTGTTTTTCTTTTCCATTATTCATCATTATATTTATTAATTCTATTTTATTATCCACTAACAAATTAACCAACGTTTTTTTTTTATACTCTTTCGAGTTTCGTCATGAAGTTGAAGATTATTTGGGGTTTTTTTTTTGTTTGATCATATCGATACTTTTATCGTTAAATTTTTTATTCTTTCTGTTATGCTGCATTATGCACCAATCACATTACTTGATATAAATTTAATTGGAGTTAGCAGACATTGGATATAATTCATTTGGTCGGAATCAAGATAAAGTTGAAGGAAAATAAATCAAGTTGATCGAAGATTAAACTGCGTTCTAAAAAATTGAACGCAATTTACAGGAATTGAATCATCAGTTTGGAGGAAATGGGTATAAGAGAATCATATCTCTGTGTGTATTTAAGAGCTTTAGACAAAAGAACTTTTCATCAACGACATTCGGCAGACATGTTTTGATCACGAGACACTCATTGTTACCTGTTAATTTTTTTAATCTGCGACAGTTGTTCATGATCGATAACTGCGCGGACGACTGGCGAATCGCGATGACCTGGCAGCGGATCGCGCAGATCTCGGTGGAACTGACGATCTGCGCGATCCATCCGATCCCGGGCGAGTACTATTTCCTGTGGACGACCAAGCTGGCAAACAAGAATGGCGACATCGGCTCCAAGTGGGTGCCGTACGACGTCACCCTCTCGCTGCCGATGTTCCTCAGGCTCTACCTCATCTGCCGGGTGATGTTGCTGCACTCGAAGCTCTTCACAGACGCGTCGTCGCGAAGCATAGGGGCCTTGAATCGCATCAACTTCAACACCAGGTTCGTTCTCAAGACCCTGATGACCATCTGTCCGGGAACGGTGTTGCTGGTCTTCATGGTCTCCCTGTGGATCATCGCCTCGTGGACACTACGACAGTGCGAAAGGTAAGAGAGCTCGATTTTCTCATCCTTTTATCGCGGTACGTAAAAAAGTTATACGCGAGGGATACCATTTACTTCAAGCTTTCGAGCCTCAATTAAACCCCCCCCATCTGACGAGAAAAGTCTTGGATTACACATTAGCCTTAATAAATTTGTCATTTATTTTTTTCTATTAAAACTGAATTAAAATTGCAATTCTTTAATTCTTTCCGTCCGCCAACCTTTTTTAATTGTTGATATTAAAACAAGCTCGCCATTTTTCTTCTACTTTGTTTTTCGACATCTGAGATGTCTCTCCTTACAAAACGGTATAATTCCTTCCTTCGTTCACCAGCAATTGAAGCTAGTTGCTGGAGAAGCTGGTTGTTTTATTTTATTCACGCGATCCATTATCCGAGGAGAGGAAGAGCAATGACACGCGCATTTCGGAATCGTACACAGCTCAACTGGACGCGACTCGCATTTGCGTGCGATGATTGATCTACTACCTAATGGCGCGTCCATCCGTCGCGCGCTATCCTGCCGTAATAATAAATCTCGGGATGGAATCCGCTGATTGAGGTCACCGGCTGACGATCGCGGGATTTAGCAGATCTCAGACACCGACTGATAATTAAATTCTTCCCCGTAAATAGTCGCGCCGATTTCAGGAATAATCAATCTTCTCTCACGCTCCAAGTATTCCTACCGCCAGGTAGGTCGAGGGAAAAGGATCCTTCTTCTACCCATCGTCTACTGAAATCTATCCGGTTTTTCCTTAATGGACGCTGGGAGCCTCCCCCCCCCTCCATCTTCCTCCCACGTTCTTAACTGAAATATTTATCACTCGGCAAATGTGTGTCGAGACGTATTCGTTTTTTCCCGGCTGGCTCCATCGGTGATTCACCCTGTGAAAGTTTTCGATGAGCGATTTTAAATCCGGCGGCGATGTCAGCCGGCTGTTTCATTGTTCATCGCCCGTAGGGCGATCGTTGAAAATGGTTCTCGCATTTGATTTATCGCGCTCCACCTTTTCCCGATAGTCGATTATGATAATACTCCCGATAATGCTAGGAACATTCGCTTTCCGACACATTTCCGGTGTGCGCTAGATGAACATCGCAACATCAAATATCGCGATGGGGCCTGGAAAATTCCGTTTAGCAAAATGGAATGGGATTTACAAAAGGAATTTCAATTTTCATTCAATGTTTATTCTAATAATTTTGTTATTTTTTTATTTGGTTGTGTAAATATAATATCGGGATATTCATGATATATCGAATACATAAAAATTTGCCGACGATAAAGCTTTCTCAACAAGTAGTTGCGCGTTGAATAAATACGTAAATTTATATTTAAGCGCGCCTATCTTGCTAGTACTGGTGACGATATTTAATAAATGTTTAATATTACATTAGTTACAATCTTACGAGTTACGCTGGCAAAATATTATTATCAGTTTTCATTATTATTATTAATTTCTTCGTATATTATATACAACACTTATTTTATTATTATACGTTTTATTATATAAAACGTTATGACAGTACGTAATTTCATATTAAATAAACATAAATATGTTTAAACTTTTATTTTATACCAGATATACCTATTAACGATATTTAATTAATGTTTATTAACAGTTCTGCAAAGTACGTTTAATTCTAATGTATGTCACATCATCATTTTTTATTACTGTCAATTTTATTATACGTATAAAACTGTATAACAATAGGAGGTTGCAAAATCAAATTTATTGAATATCTGTGTTATCAGTATTATTGATGGCACTTAATGAAGTTAAATGTCATATTTTCACACTTTATGTAATTATAAATTGATGAATCATCGTTATCAGTTATCCGCTACTATCAATTTTATTGTAAAGCGTTGAAAATGTTTATTTATTTAAATTTGAAAAATCCTTTCAAATTCGACTTTACGAAACGAATCATAACCGCGCGATAACGTACAGTGTTATTTCAACTAACCGCTTTGCGGTTCGAGATTATCGAATTTGCGGTCACGTATTTGCATCAGCATTCAAAATTTAAAAAAAAAATCGATTTGATAATTTTGCTCTTGCATCAACGTAAACACCGCGCGGACCCCGCAGCCAGTTTTACGCTCGGATTATAAAACCGGAAATTGTCGCGAAATGCGAGCGATATTTTATTCAGTATGCGTATCCGCACGTGGCCGCACGAATTTCCACGACAATAACGCGATTTTCACGGTACACGGCCGACGACAATCAGTCATGCAATCAACGTTGCTACGAGAATAATCCGTTGCATGGGACTTCCATGGAGTGGACCGTTCGTTACATCAAACGCGAATCATCAATTTTATCGGATCCAAGTAGAGAGGGGAGGGGGGGGAAATACAAGGGAGTCACGTTCGTTGTATGGTTAATCACGTTAAAAAGATTTCCGCTTTCATGGCTCTCTAATTTTTTTTTCGTTACGACAGTAAAATCGCCGCCGTCATTATTTAAAGACATTAAATTTATTTGCATATTTTTTTTTTTTACTCTTGTGTATCCCTCCGAATCGGAAGGAAGAGGAAACGGGAGGGATATGATTGTGACTAATGTGTATGCTATCTTATTTTCTGTAATTATGATTCGTCGCTCACAGAACGCAAAACGATAATCGGTCGGCCGAGGCGAGACTTATAGATATCGTTAAGGGTCGGAACCCTTGATCAGCCCTAAAAGACGGTTTTGCTATCCGCACGCAAGGCGAAATCGTGTAACATCGGCAATGTAACCGGGTCGTTAAAGCTGCTTTACGCGGATTATAGCCGGGCACGACGCCCGCATTGTCGCCCCAATCCTCTTTGCGCCCGATAATAAATCTCGCGGGGGGCATAATGTTATCTTTTATCCTGCACTACTTGCCCGTAGCCACCCTCGTTCGCTCAGCCCTCGAGTGAAAGATTAAACGCCGATTATGACGTAACGAACGTATCGAGTCGCTAATAAAAAAAAAAAAAAAAAAAACTAAAGGAATTCCGACACAGTAATGTTCTTTTAACATGTTCAAGATATTAAAATAGAAACCTTAAAATATTCTTGTGCAATATTTTGATATTAATTAAAGCACTATATTTATTAATTAACATCTTTCATCTTTTATCTTTTACATATGTAATGTAAATCGTATGGTGTTCCATCTTGATATTTTTAAATTTAAAGGAAGTTGAAAAGAAGAGACAGTTTACTTTGTGAATATGATGTTTTACAAACCTCCATTTCTTTTTAAAATATGAAATCTTGAGAAGCTCTTAGTATCCTAAAGTTTAAGATATTTAAACTTGGAGGCACATCAAACACAAGGCGTTTAAAGCCTTCACGAACTCTAGGATACCCTATTTATCTTTGCGCGCGCGTGTTGCATTATTAAAATAATGTGCTTGTCACTTTGCCGCTACAGGTTCCACGATGAGGAACATGCAAATCTCCTCAACGCCATGTGGCTCATCGCCATTACGTTCCTGAGCGTCGGTTTTGGCGACATTGTGCCCAACACATACTGCGGTCGAGGTATAGCCGTCTCCACTGGAATGATGGTAAGGGGCTGAACGTAAATTGGCTCGAAGTCGTGGAAATTCTCACTATTCTCGCGAATTTTTTTCCACCATCGACGTCGATCGGTGGAGACGCGATAACGTCTTGCGCCAAGTGAAAACGACGATCTCGCAACAGATTCAGCAATTCGCGCAGCAATTCGTTGCTGGAAAGATCGGACTTGTTTCGAAAACGTTATAGCTTTTTTTTTTTTTT